GGCGACCAAGGAGAGGATCGTGACGCGATCCGCGTGGACGAATGAGAAAGGCCGCCTCACTCCTCTTGCCCACCCGGTAATTTAGTTGGAAGTTGACAGACAGACAGTAGTTCATTCTTGGTTCTTGCCTATGTTATTTGCTGAATATTTACTATGTTCATTTCATGTGTCTTTAGATGGAGACCAAGCTCATGGCGAAGTGCGAGAGGCACAATCAGCACTTGTCTGACAGTGAGATACTAGAACTGGGCAACAGAATCAAGCTGCGCGCGCACGACATGATGGAAGGAAAGGCTGAATGTTCCGGCGCGTATGCCGCCGCCGCTGCTCTGGTGGTATGTTCATGATCTTGTACTCCCTCTGGTTCTTTTTACTCTGCACATTGGATTTGCCAAAAGTCAAACTTTGCTAAGTTTGACCAAATTTATATTAGAAATTATTAGCATCTATAATATCTAATAAATATAATATAAAAATATATTCCAAGATGAATCTAATGATATTGGTGTTGTTATGTGAATGTCTATAATTTTTTATATAAACTTGGTCAAAATTGGATGAGATTGACTTCGGACAAACCTAATATGCAGAGTAAAAAGAACCGGAAGGAGTATTTGTTGCAGTATCGTTTTCGGATCCACTGACGACGAGGAGCCTGCGACGGAGAACGTACGGAATTTTAGTTTGTCTAGAAGAAACCTACTGGTATTCTTTCAGAATGTAGCAAATGCCTTTTTTTTTGCTTGTGGCCGGCGTAGGGAGTTGCCTAACCTTGGAGGAGAGTGCCACGTAAGAACGTTACTACTTCCTCTCTCAGTTTGCATGTACCCCTATGTCATCAATTTGACCAACCTAATACAAGCCATATATTATAAAAAATATACCAATATAAACTTCAGATGTTCTATTTTCAAACGGTATAATTTTTGTGTTATATACTTTATATTAGGATGATAAAATTGGCAACCTAGGTATACGCGCAGGACTAGTAAACTGAAACGGAGGGAGTAGTGACGGAGCCAAAGCTCATACACCTCCTCAAGTTGATGAGACCCACACAGGCAGGGGATAACAGAGATGAAGATGGAGATGATCCTAAACATGGTAACAGCTAAGGACATTGCTATCATTAATGAGGGACATGAGAAGATGTGGCGAAAACAACAGATGGAGCATGGCCATTCGGCCGGCATCAGGTTGCAAGTCGGCAGGTAGGCGAATTACCGGAGCATCTTTGATAGAGGTGCAAACTGGTGATCCTAAGAAAACTCTCCGGTCCTCTTTAGTTCAAACAAATGAACTAGCCTTTCAAAAATAATTTGATTTTGAAAATTTGGGCTACTTGATTGGGTTGTAGGGTACTGCTCCCTCCGTCCCATAATATAAGGGACAGAGGGAGTATTTGATTAGGGGGGAAAATTCTTGCTGACAAGCAGCTGGTCGTGTAACTTCCACGAAAGAACAACAAGAACAAATTATTGGACTTTGGAAACCAATTTCTTGTTGGATAATTTCAACAAGATCAGCAACGTTGGTTCGACCAAACAAACTCATCTTGCTATTGCTGTTTGTCTTGATGACAGTCGGCACCCATGAGTTGAGCTGAGAGGGAGTTTCCGCTCAATTCCTCTTCATAATGAGCTACTGTAATTAAGCAGCGTGAGCCTGTAATTAGTAGCAAGTTTACACGTCGAAATCAACAACACTGTCAACTTGGCTGTGCTCCCTACTCCCAACGGGACCTCCCATCCACTGCTACTTACAGGGGCGAAATTGGGCCTAGGGCAACTGGGGCTATAGCCCCAGGCGTGGCCCAACTAGTGCCATTATATCCAGTAGAAAATTTTCAGATTTTCACATTTATAGAGGCCCAGCCCCAGACGTGAATACCCAGCCCAAGGCCTCAGCGGCAGCCCAACTAACTAGCTCAGCAGGAAGCCACGCCCACGGCCTCATTGGTCGGTTGTGATTCCAAAGGCATCGATCGATCGGCCAGAAAAATTACATTCATTGTCGATCAAAAGATCCCTCGTTGACTCGGTGCCTCGTTTCATCCGCCGCCCCAGCCCCTCGACGGCTCGACAGACTGAACGATCCAGACCTGTGCTTGGCCTCGTGGCCGCATCGCAGTCGCAGCAAGCCCCTCTGTGCTCTGGCCATTTCCAATTCACTTGTTCTGCTCCGCCTCCACAACTGGCTATAGAGGTATTTAAAGTTGTTGTATCATCTACTCCCTCCGTTCTAAAATAGACCAACTTTATACTAAGTTGGATCATCTATTTTGAAACCGAGGAAGTATTTTTCCTATGGATGATTTGATCTAGCTTTTTATATCTATATGTTGAATTGTACTATTACTTTAGTCAATTGTATTTTAGTTATTTGTTAAAAGAAAAGATGATAGAAATCCAAGATAAAGAGGAGACACACACACGGACGCACATACACACGATTAAATTTCTTTTGAAGCAAGTTCCCACCAGCCTACATCCAACAATACCAGAATCAGCAGGAGCCGGAGCTAGTAATGCAAATAAGTAAAACATGTGTGGAGCTTAATCCAGATGACATTAATCTTGACCCCGGTCTCCATAAACCGAATGAGGAAATGCAAGGGGCTATTACCTATTGCACTTCATGATAATGGTATATTAAGTTTTTCCTTCTTTTGGCACTATTCGTATGAACAATTGACTTGGTCTATGTACATTGTCTTGATTTTAAATACATGATTTTCTGTTTGTAACTCCGATCCTTTTAATATTGCTAGTGAAGAAACGATGACCTCAAATTAAGCAACTCTTCATCAAATTTTCCCTCGTGGTAAAATGAATTTATATTTCATCTTTAATGTGAATTTTTGACATACTTCTAACACACGCCGGTATGCTTAGTATTTGACGTTATTTTAGTTACTTAGTTTTAGCCCTAGGTTTTGAGAAATTCTGGTTCCGCCTCTGGCTACTTACAGTATGTAATTCAGTTGCCTTCCTTTTCTGCAACATGCCACTGACAGCTACTTGATGCATACAACAGCTAAAAAGATGAGCACCTCTCCGTGTAAAAAAAAAGTAAAAACAGACGGCTACGAGTACCGAAAGTTACAGAGTCTAGGTAGTAAGTCAAGCTCCTGCAGTAATTATCCTGCAGGCTGCAGCTGCTTCCTCCCGTTGACTGCACTTGGCCGAGTCAACCAAGAGCCCCACATGGCACCGAGCGCACCTGACAAACTACTACTGCTTGCTCCCGTTGACCGCGCTTGACTCGGCGGGCCGGTGCGCCGGCTCGCCGTCGGCGTCGGCGGCGGCGTCCCTGAACTTTGCGTAGATGTCGCTGCGGTAGAAGTTGCGGGTGCGCCAGACGAGCAGGAGCGAGACGAGCGCGCCGGCGACGGTGGCGGCGGTGATGATGAGGAAGGCGAGCTTGAAGCACTGCACGCCGATGCAGGTCTTGTCGCCGGCGCCGTCCAGCGTGCCGCCGTGCTGCCTGGCGGCCTCCACGTCGTAGAGGTACCCCGCCACGCGCACGTTGAGCGCGTAGGCGCCGATGGGGCTGGCCACGGACCCGAAGTTGTAGAGCGTGGAGTAGTACTTGAGGCCGAAGAGCTCCGAGATGATGGCGAACAGCAGCGGCCACTGTGCCCCGAAGCAGAACCCGATCACCACCGACGCCGCGTAGAGAGACTGCGGAACTCCGAAGGCGATGAGGAGGTGCCCGACGCACGCCAGCAGCAGCACCAGCGTCAGCATGAGCGGGCGCGGGAACTTGTAGCGCGCCAGCACCGCCTCCGACGCGAACCCGGCGGTGACCCGGCCGGCGTAGTTCCAGATGCTGATGAGGGAGATGAAGGTCTTGATGCTCTTGGGCGGGTAGCCCAGGGACTGCCCGATCTGGCCCATGTTGTCGATGGCCGTCAGCGTGCCCCCCACGCCGCAGATGGTGGCCAGGAACAGCACCAGCATGTCCACGCTCACCAGCGCCTGCAGGATCGTGTAGTCCTCCCCCTGCGCCGGCGGGCTGAACATCTCCTTTAGACACGACGACCCGAAGCAGCTGCGGGAAGGCGACGGCCGTGCCGGCGAAGCCAACGTTGCAGCCGACGTTGTGGCGTCCTCTGTTTCTGTCTCTGTTTTTGTGGTGGCCATTTGCAGTTGCAGGGCGGCTGGCTTGTCGACGGTCACGGTCGGAGGCACGAGGAGGAGGGACTCCTCGAGCTCCCTCTTGATCCTGTACTCCTGCTTGACGACGACGGCGAGGGGGAGGAGGAGGATGAGCATGAGCGCGGTGGCGGAGACGACGAGGGCCGGGTGCGAGAGGTCCAGCTGGTTCTGCACCACGATCATGACGAGCAGGTAGGTGGCGAGCGCCATGGAGATGTAGAGGAAGCAGTAGAAGGGGTCGCTGGTGGTGGCGGCCGTCTCCTCCTCGCCGCCGCGCCGGACGGGGCGGTGCGGCATGATGCGGACCGTGTGGACGAAGACGATGCAGACGGCGGCGGGGAGCCACGCCACCAGCAGCACGAGCGACTTGGCGTCGTCGCCGTAGATGGCGATGTAGAGCTGGGTGAAGATGGCGCCGCTGAGCCCCACGAAGCCCTTGAGCAGGCCCAGCACGGCGCCGCGGCTCCCCGGGAAGTTCTTGACGCAGGTGACGAGAGCGCCGGTGTTGGTGAAGGACTGGGAGTTGGCGCCGACGCAGATGTAGACGCACATGAGCCACACGGGCGGGCGGGCGGTCCGGCCGTCGATGGCGAGGTAGATCATGAGGTAGCCGACGAGGTTCATGGCGGCGCCGATGGCGAGCACGACCCAGGGCGGCGTGACCTCGTTGATGAGGCCGGAGAGGACGCCGACGTTGGCGCCGAGGTCCTTGAAGAAGGCGAAGGTGTTGAGGGTCTGCTGGTCGTAGCCCAGCGCCGACTTGAGCACCTTGGAGTAGAGCCCGAAGATGTAGGTGGCCCCGGAGGCGGAGAGGATGAGCAGGCAGGCGAAGACCATGAACCAGCGCCCCAGCACCACCTGCCGCGCGAACCGCGCCGTCGCCACCTCCCGCACCGCCGCCGCCGTGCACCCGTCGCCGCCGGACGCCGAGGAGGAGGACACCATGGCTGGCTAGCTAGCTAGCAGCGTGAACGCCACGCTCTCCTCTCGCACGCTCTTCGTGTGTGTGTGGCAGTGTGGGCACGCGCTGCTTGTCTGGCTTCGGGCGCGCGCGTATGTATATAACGGAGCGGAACGGAGTGGTGGCTTGGTGAGCAACGGGTGGACGGCGATCCGATCGATAGCTAATCGTGGCTGGTTAGGTTAATCGTGGATTGATTGGGAGAGTGTGACAGTGTACTCTGTGTTTGTGTGACGACGTTGACTTGCAGGTCTCCTGACTGTGCCGCCGAGGATAGTGGAGGAGCACGCGATGCAGGGTGAGCTTCCTTGCCGGCCATGGCGTGCGGGCAAGTGACGTGCCCGCTGACTGATGCTGATCAGGACAGCCGGGCCCGCCGGACCAGCTGATCGTCCGGCGGCCGGCGACCAGAGGTTCTCTTCTACGGAGTAGTTGACTACATTGAGTGGTGGATCTAGCCCAATGGGTCAGAGTGGGCCAAAAAAAAAATGTTCATATCATTTTTTTAATTTTTTCTATGATGTAAAGGTTATTGAGAAATTTCGGGATGCCTTGTATCTCCATCATATTTCTAGGACAACGCTAGCGTCCACACGTGTAGTGTCACCGACTGCATGCATGTGAATTTTTTTTAGATTTCCAGTTTTTAAAATGTTTTATCTCTTAAATAAAAAATCCGGTTAAAGATTCGTTTTTACCATTAAATCCCTCGCGACGAGGTCTTCGAAACTAGATCTCATATCAATATATTTCGACGAATTTTTGAATTTTTTTGAGGTTAAAAATTGCCATGTCTATTGCACATGAATTGCCATGGTGTTTACACTGAAGTTGCCATGATATATTTCAGCTATTTTTTTCTACATTTAAAAGTAAATTTTGACATTTATAAAAAAAGAAATTAAGAACCTAGACTTTCCATGAACCATAAATTAAAATTGCCATGATACATGCATTTAAAATTGCCATGGTTCATACAAAAAATAATTTTCATGGTAAAAATATTGGAGTTGCCATCATCAAAATACTAAAATTGACATTCTACAAACTGAAATTGCCACATGGCAACTTTAGTCTAAGCATATGGCAACTACAATGTAAACATCATGGCAACTTCTTGACAAAAAAAAATTCGTCGAAAGATATCAACATGGGGTCTAGTTTTAAAGATCTCGTCGAGACGGATTTAATGATGAAAACGGATTTTTAATTCAACTTTTTAATTGGGAGATAAAACATTTTAAAGCGGAAAGCCAAAAAGATTCTTGCTGATGTCATCTGTTCACATGTGGCAAAATGAGTGGAAAAGAAGGCGCGTGGGCGATGTGCAAGATGTCACACGTGTGGACGTTAGTTTTTTCCTATTTCTATCCTAAGTCAAATTTGATTAAATTTTGTAGAATATGGTATTTCTTGCCAGAAATAAAGTATAGGCATTGGCAAAAAAATATTTTTTTGTTTCTTATAAACCTGGAAAAGTTTGGTGTAATATAGAACTTAAGTGATCAATTTCGGTGGAAGATCCAACTGTTTGGCACATGTCGATGTGCTCTTCATTCAGGTTTTGTGGTGAGGGCTTCGTCGATGGTCAATCATGGTTAAATTAGAGGTGTTTGCTCCCAGAGGATGGATGAATGACGCGGATGATGCTTGCGGGCGATCTCGATGGTGTTCCTTTTCTCGATGGCTATGGTGGAGTTCTTTTGTGTGTGCCTGTTGGAAATATGCCCTAGAGGCAATAATAAATTAGTTATTATTGTATATATTTCATTGTTCATGATAATCGTTTATTATCCATGCTAGAATTGTATTGATAGGAAACTCAGATACATGTGTGGATACATAGACAACACCATGTCCCTAGTAAGCCTCTAGTTGACTAGCTCGTTGATCAATAGATAGTTATGGTTTCCTGACCATGGACATTGGATATCGTTGATAACGGGATCACATCATTAGGAGAATGATGTGATGGACAAGACTCAATCCTAAGCCTAACACAAAGATCGTGTATTTCGTATGCTAAAGCTTTTCTAATGTCAAGTATCATTTCCTTAGACCATGAGATTGTGCAACTCCCGGATACCGTAGGAGTGCTTTGGGTGTGCCAAACGTCACAACATAACTGGGTGGCTATAAAGGTACACTACAGGTATCTCCGAAAGTGTCTGTTGGGTTGGCACGAATCGAGACTGAGATTTGTCACTCCGTGTAAACGGAGAGGTATCTCTGGGCCCACTTGGTAGGACATCATCATAATGTGCATAATGTGACCAAGGAGTTGATCACGGGATGATGTGTTACGGAACGAGTAAAGAGACTTGCCAGTAACGAGATTGAACAAGGTATCGGGATACCGACGATCGAATCTCGGGCAAGTATCGTACCGCTGGACAAAGGGAATTGAATACGGGATTGATTGAATCCTCGACATCGTGGTTCATCCGATGAGATCATCATGGAGCATGTGGGAGCCAACATGGGTATCCAGATCCCGCTGTTGGTTATTGACCGGAGAGTTGTCTCGGTCATGTCTGCATGACTCCCGAGCCCGTAGGCTCTACACACTTAAGGTTCGATGATGCTAGGGTTATAGGGAAAGTATGTACGCGGTTACCGAATGTTGTTCGGAGCCCCGGATGAGATCCCGGATGTCACAAGGAGTTCTGGAATGGTCCGGAGGTAAAGATTGATATACAGGAAGTATGGTTTTGGCCACCGGAAGTGTTCCGGGCATCACCGGTAGTGTACCGGGACCACCGGGAGGGGCCACGGGCCCCGGAGGCATACATGGGCCAAGTGTGAGAAGGGACCAGCCCCTAGGTGGGCTGGGGCGCCTCCCCACCAAGGCCCATGCGCCTAAGGGGAAGAGGGGGCAAATCCTAAGGGCAGATGGGCCCTAAGGCCCATGCCTGGTGCGCCTCCCTCTCCCCTCCACTTGGCCGCCACCCCAGATGGGGATTGGGGCTGCCGCCACCCCTAGGGTGGAAACCCTAGGTGGGGGCGCAGCCCTCCCTCTCCCCCTATATATAGTGGAGGCAAAGGGGCAGCCCAACCCATGAAGTTCCTCCCCTGTTGGCGCAGCCCTACCCCTCTCCCTCCTCGTCTCTCGTAGTGCTTGGCGAAGCCCTGCTGGAATCCCGCGCTCCTCCACCACCACCACGCCGTCGTGCTGCTGCTGGATTGAGTCTTCCCCAACCTCTCCTTCTCCCCTTGCTGGATCAAGGCGTAGGAGACGTCACCGGGCTGTACGTGTGTTGAACACGGAGGTGCCGTCCGTTCGGCACTAGGGTCATCGGTGATTTGGATCACGACGAGTACGACTCCATCAACCCGTTCACATGAACGCTTCCGCTTAGTGATCTACAAGGGTATGTAGATGCACTCTCCTTCCCCTCGTTGCTAGATTACTCCATAGATTGATCTTGGTGATGCGTAGAAAATTTTGAATTTCTGCTACGTTCCCCAACAGTGGCATCATGAGCTAGGTCTATGCGTAGTTTCTATGCACGAGTAGAACACAAAGCAGTTGTGGGCGTTGATTTTGTCAATTTACTTGCCGCTACTAGTCTTATCTTGATTCGGCGGCATCGTGGGATGAAGCGGCCCGGACCGACCTTACACGTACTCTTACGTGAGACTGGTTCCACCGACTGACTTGCACTAGTTGCATAAGGTGGCTAGCGGGTGTCTGTCTCTCCCACTTTAGTCGGATCGGATTCGATGAAAAGGGTCCTTATGAAGGGTAAATAGAAATTGGCATATCACGTTGTGGTTTTGGCGTAGGTAAGAAACGTTCTTGCTAGAAACCTATAGCAGCCACGTAAAAACTTGCAACAACAATTAGAGGACGTCTAACTTGTTTTTGCAGCATATGCCTTGTGATGTGATATGGCCAAAAGGATGTGATGAATGATATATGTGATGTATGAGATTGATCATGTTCTTGTAATAGGAATCACGACTTGCATGTCGATGAGTATGACAACCGGCAGGAGCCATAGGAGTTGTCTTTATTTATTTATGACCCGTGTGTCAACATAAACGTCATGTAATTACTTTACTTTATTGCTAAAGCGTTAGCCATAGTAGTAGAAGTAATAGATGACGAGACAACTTCCAGAAGACACGATGATGGAGATCATGGTGTCATGCCGGTAACAACGATGATCATGGAGCCCCGAAGATGGAGATCAAAAGGAGCAAAATGATATTGGCCATATCATGTCACTATTTGATTGCATGTGATGTTTATCATGTTTTACATCTTATTTGCTTAGAACGACGGTAGCTTAAATAAGATGATCCCTCGTAATAATTTTAAGACAAACCAGCTGATACAGCTTTTTCAGATTTGGCCCCGCAGCGGAATCAGATTTTGGAAAGCACGTCCTGGGCTACTTTCACTTTTGGTTCAGATTTTGGCAGCGGATTTCTGGAATCGGATTCTACTGGGTTCACCCTTTGGTTCAGATTCTGCTGCGCGGCAGCGGAATCCGTCGATAAAAGCCGAACCAAACAGGGCCTTAGGTTGACTTGACGAGCCTAGCATGTACAGACATGGCCTCGGAACACGGAAGACCGAAAGGTCGAACATGAGTCATATAGAAGATACGATCAACATGAGATGTTCACCGTTGATGACTAGTCCGTCTCACGTGATGATCGGACACGGCCTAGTTGATTCGGATCATGTTTCACTTAGATGACTAGAGGGATGTCTATCTGAGTGGGAGTTCATTAAATAATTTGATTAGATGAACTCAATTACCATGAACATAGTCTAAATTGTCTTTGCAAATATGTTGTAGATAAATAGCTCACGTTGTAGCTCCGTGTTTCAATACGTTCCTAGAGAAAGACCAAGTTGAAAGATATTGTAAGCAATGATGCGGACTAGGTCCGTGGTCCGAGGAGTTTCCTCACTGCTACACAGAAGGCTTACGTCTTTGATGCACCGCTCGATGTGCAAACCCCTACAGCG